AAGACTATTGGAATTGATTGGTAAATAGCCAGTCCATTTATAGTTTGAATACCAAACCCCAAGAATAGTAAAGAATCCAATAAACATTCCGACAATCATGTTAGTTTGATTGTAGAAGGGCATTTGCAAAGGCGCATTCATTTTTATCATGTTCCAATCGAAAGTTGGTATTGGATTGAGTCCTAATCCACTGACGAAACCGGTGACAGCAGCAAGATTTTGATTATCAGGTTTGATCCACGCTAGCCAAGAAAAATACGACAACGCTTGGAATAAGTAATCAGGTACCCAAAAGTAAAGGAACGATGCTCCAAACACAATGAAGAAGAAACTGTACCCCGAAATTGTCCATCCATTGATATTTTGCTGCTTTGATTTTGTCAATAATGTTTTGTTCAAGGCAATACCAGGTAATATTATTGGCCACACAGCTTGGACAGGATACACTGCAAATTTACGAATTAGCCCAGCTAACCCAATACCCATAAAATTTGTTGACAAGATTAACAATACCTGGTACCCAAAGTCAACCCATTTATTTGCATAGAAGAGTTCCGACTTCTGCATCAAAATATTTGACGAAACATACGATGTACCACCGCCAGAAACCGAGCAGAATATAGTAGCTAACATTTGCTCTTTATAAGTGTAAGGACCCGGGTTCAAATCAAGTGTCCATTTCCAAAGCTTGATCTTCCACTTAGGCAAGATCCATTCGCACAATAAACCGCTGGGATATAAAAACACTTGAACGACAGAAACTGCAAGGGTAATAGCTGGCTGTCTCTCGGTAAAGAATTGATTAATAACAGCACCAATTGCAGTCCAGATAATACCAATGAGGTAAACTCTAAAAGTTTCCACGGGGATGGTTGGGTCATCAAATGGAAGGGTAACACTTCTGACTTCAGGATATGGTGACCAATAAGCAACCAACACGGCTTCCAATCTCACTTGTAGATCCCAATCAACAACCTCCGGTTTACCAGTTGAAGGATCATTTGACGATGTTTCAGCATCGTCTGCAATAATTGTAACTTTGATTGGGTTTCCCTTCTCGTCGATGGATGATTCCGACCCTTTTTCGTCTTCAGGGTGGTGAAAACCATGAGCATTGTAATCCACCAACTCCTTCCATAACTCCAAATCGTGTTCTTGAATATTAACATCGTGCCCGTGTTCTTGAATTGCTTCTTTCAAAATCTCAACAGCTTCTTGAGTTGACGTTTGCTCAATCTTTTCAAATATAAATGTACACTCAGGAGGCAAGTCTTCAAAGCTGGTCAACGCATCAAAATGCAATCTTCTCAAGACATAGTTCTTCTGAGCGTCAGTTAAGGTGGTACCAACTTCTCCTATAGACAAAGGGTTTGACAAAACAGCATCTAAATTAACCTCATGATCTTGTGTTTGCAAGTGACTTCCAACACTATGAAGGGATGTCATTGGACCAGTAGAATGAACTACAGGGTTACCAATCTTCTCATTACTCATGGCGCTGAGAAATGATATTTGATGTAAATTGTTTACTGAGTGTAAAGAAATGGCCAAAATAAAAGAAAGAGCAGGATCTTCTACTTATAGAGTTCACATCCCAACTATCAACACAAATGAACAATGTACTATTAGTCGGTTGATTTTGATGCATACAATGAAAAACAGTAGACAATTTACTGATACTTTTATTCCTCATGAAACAATGCAATTTGCACGTACGGCACGATGGCTTTATCTCTTTTGTTAGAGCTTGATTCTAAGATAAAGCTCCAATTATGTTATCCATTTTTCCACGACCACAGTTTGGTAATTATTTAATCGATTGGGTGTAAAGAGAAAATCAAAGTTCGACGCCTTATAACCAATTGTGTGGATGTTTTGTTGTTTTTGCAATCAACCACATGTTTAACATTGTGTCTCACAAATGCTTTACATAATAATTTAATTTAAATTTCTTATCACTTTGAATAAATTTTGAGCTGCTATGAGGCGTTTAACTACATTGAATAAACACCAATCATATTGGATTTATCTAAATTTTAAAGCAAGCAAAAGGCTCTAGAATGCAGCATTTCTTGTTGAGCTGAGATGCAACTTGCTTATTTTTGAAATGGAACGGCATCTTGGATTTTATAAGTTAAACCACAGTTTTTTGTTTTGCATCTAGTGCATTCATTTTAAAGCCTCAAGTTTTTTTAGAGTTTCTTTATCTTTGACAGATTTATGAGAGCAGAAAATTGCGCAGCTTATTTCTGTTCAAATAAAGATCTTCAACGACACAATTAAGTAGGGTTGTTTGAAATGGAATACGAGAAGACAGAAGTAATGAGCTATTTGAGTGCCCACATCAACCGTCAATTCTCCAGAAGATACGTCCAACCCACCTTGCTTTGTTTATGGATAATTGGATCACGCGATAAAAGTTCAAGAGCTTCGTTAAATCCGGGATTTTTAGTAAAAATAAAAGTACATTTTTTAACCGCAATTAACTTAAAATTGATAAATTTAAGTTCTTGGCATATTTTACCTATCTTTTTTTCTTTCCTTGTTGATTTCATGTTGATAAAGAAAAATTGGTACGGCACCAAGGCGGAAGCACTTTCAAGTTTTTCTTATCGGCGGCTTACGAGTGATGAGAACTGGAATTTTAAAACCTTGAAAAAAAGAAAAGCTGCTGGGTCACTTTCTGAACTTTGTTCCAGCTCTGGAGTTGCTGGAAGATTTGCAAATCTCGATTACATGTTTGCGGTTCTCGTACTTTAGAAACAGGTCAAACGGTTTCTTCTCCTGTGGTTACGACTCTGTCTCGTAATTCTAAAATATGGTAACGTAATTGTTATTGTCGATGCCACCTCAGTTTCATTTTTATTTTACATTGTATGGAATTTGTATCATTGATTTCATTTTCTATTCCTGTTTTTGATATTTGCGAGTTTGTGTTACAAAGCGTCAAAATTGCTTTTTCTAATTTTTTTTTGGTGCCGTACAGTCAAAGTGTTAAAAATTATACCCTCAAAAACTGTGGAGGGTCTTATTTAGGAGATTGGGGGTTTTCTTATATTTACAAGAGAGAAAAGTTTTGATGTTTTTGGGACATTTCTTTAAAGCTGCCGATTTAAGTTACATCGATTTCACTTCAGAGAATAAAAGGGAAGGATTTTGAAAATTAACTTTTGTTTTCCTCGGGTCTGTAGTACATTTTGTGATATTATATCCGGAAAAAGAGAAACTTTGACGTGGCGCGGCCATTGGAAATATTTATCCGCCGTTTAAATTGAGGTAGAAGACAAGTCTAAGTTCCTGAACTCCTCAATCAAGCATTTTTTTCTTCGATAGAAAAGTGTTTTTATCTTGACTTAAATCTGGATTCCCCTCAAAAAAATCAAAAGTTATGTAAAATAGAGGGATATTGCCAAACAATACAATATCCATCACCCGACACATAAATTGGTAATTTAATTTGTAATAGGTGCATGAATGCCCAGATTTCTTTTGACACGCCGCCATGAGCGGCCCGTCAAGAGAGCTTTTGTACTTCCCCTTGGGGTCTCGATTAAATTAGAATGAGCTAAAAAACGACTAAAACAGGGACTAGAGAGGGATTGGAAGGATAATATAGTAAGGAGAGGATTTGTTATGGCACCACAACCTAGAGTAATGTACCCGCATAGTTATAGAGGGGGAATAGCACCTTGCCAAATAATGAATTTTTAGTCTCTTTTTTCGCAGTTAGATTCTAAATGGAGCTTATTTAATGCTAGTGGGTTTTGGATGTTACAAAGACTTGCTTGCAAACCTTACTTTTCCTGTTTCATTCCAAGTTGGAAAGTGATTTGTTTGATACATCTTACAATTCACCATCAAGTAAATATAGCATAAGTTATTACATACTGCATAGGGGTAAATACGACATAAATCAACAGTGTACAAACACCCTCTTTTATTTTTTTAATTTGCCTTCTCTTCAACATACAACTCATGGGAAATGTCCCTTTCTTGGTCCAAAATATCCATCTGGAGCCAGTTCAGTAGCATTCAATCTACCAACCATATTACCATCATAACCTGTGTACACAACAGTATTACCCCACCAATTGATGTCCTTTTCATGATACATGACTGCAAAGAAGATGATGATTGATGAAAAAGCTAAACCACCATCCAATCCACAAGAAAGAAGATAGTTGTATTTTTGCCACCAAGCTTCGTACTTACCCTTGATGTACCACATGAATGCCAACGATACGTAGACACTAGGGATATAGTAAGACAAATTGTATGGAGCGTAGTTTAACATACCTCCGATGATGATTGCTGGTTCAAATGTCTTTAAATACTTCTTGGGACCCCATTTCTTCAAAGCGATGCATGGGAATGCCAACAAGAAACCAATCAAGAAACACCATCTCAAGATAGGGTATAAATGGTCAAACACTTTCTTTGGACCGATGACACCCCAAAGGACAGAAGCATTGTAGAATGTCCTACCACTGGGACAAGTGAATTTCTGTTTGTTGCCTGGTACGCAATAGTCCTTGATACCAGTTATCTGGAAGTTCAAAATAGCCAACTGAATAAACGATGCCACTAAGATTGAAAGTAATTGAACTCTAAAAGTAGCACGCGGTGGAAGCTTAGTGTAGTGACCTTGTTTCAAATCGTTGACAAAGTTTTGCGCTTGCCCGTCAATATTGTAACCCAAAGCCTTGATAAATGCCAAAGCCAAACCATTACCAGGGATTGCATAACCAACAATCAACTCAACCAAAACATTCAACCCA